TTTCCCCCCCTTATTTTCATTTTCCCACCTTTTAATTTTCTCCTCTTTTCATTTCCCCCCTTTTAATTCCCCCTTTTTAATTCCCCCCTTTTTAATTTCCCCCCTTTTTATTTTCCCCCCTTTCCATTTCTCCCTCTTTTCATTTCCCCCTCCTTTTTTATTCCCTCTTCTTTTAATTTTCCCCCTTTCCTTTTTCCCCCTCTTTTCATTTTTTCCCCTTTTCATTTCCCCCTTCTCGTTTTTCCATCTTTTCATTCCCTTTCTTCTCATTTTTCCCTCTTTTAATTTCCCCTCTTTTAATTTCCCCTCTTTTCATTCCCTCACTTTGCATTTTTCCCCTTTTCATTTTTCCCCTTTTTATTTCCCCCCTCTTCTCATTTCTCCCTTTTCCTTTTTCCCTTTTCATTCCCCCTTTTTAATTTTTCCCACTTTTCATTTTCCCCCCTTTCCTTTTCCCCACTTTCCATTTTCCCCCTTTTCATTTTTTCTTTCCCCTTTTCATTTTTCCCCTTTCCTTTTCCCCCCCTTCTCATTTTTCCCTTTTCATTTTTCCCTTTTTTTATTCCCCCTTTTTTCATTTCCCCACTTTTCATTTTTTCTTTCCCCTTTTCATTTCCCCCTTTCCTTTCCCCCACTCTTCATTTTTCCCTTTCAATTCCCCCTTTTTTCATTTTTCCCCCTTTCCATTTCCCCCAACTTTTCATTTTTCCCCTTTTTATTTCCCCCCTCTTCTCATTTCTCCCTTTTCATTTTTCCCTTTTTTCATTCCCCCTTTTTCATTTTTCCCACTTTTCATTTTTCCCCTTTTTATTCTTCCCCCTCTCTTCTCATTCCCCCCACTTTTAATTCCTCCCTCTTTTTATTTTTCTTCTCCCCTTCCAACCCCAACCGTGACCAAAAAGCTGAGACAACTCCTGAGGGCTCCTGGGGAAAATTTACATCCCAAATTTTTCCTCTCCATCCCTCAAAAAAAAAATTAAAAAATTAAAAAAAATAATTGGCAACCCTAGACAAAGCAACGCCAATGACCAAACCCCAAATTATTTTATTTTTAATCATTAACCTGACGAGATTAAACCGATTTCCTCCGCGGTTTTCATTGGCACAATTGAATTTTTTTTTTTTTTAATTATTATAATTCTTTTTCTCACCCCCCCCCGGCTAAATGAGCTTTAGATTTATTCCAAACCCTCCCCACCCACGCGGATTCTTGGAGTGACAAAAGTTTCCAGGCTTCTCCCTGCGGGAACGGAGCCTCCCAGTCCCTCCCAAGCTGCGAAATGGGAGAACTGGAACACCAGAAAAAAAAAAAAAAAACCAACCCCAAAAACCCCAAAAATCTCCTTTCCCCAACCCCCTCCCTCGCCCATTATTTAATATTTCTATTTTTTTAGAGTTTCTAATTTTTTATTTCGAGTTTCTAGGTGGATTAAAGTTTATAAATCTTCCCAAGGGTTTAAAAAAAAAAAAAAAAAAAAACCAAAACTCGGTGGCAAAAGCCAAATTTCTTTGCTGGGCGAGCCAGGGCGAGCTGTCAAAAGTCTTTGGAGGAAAAGATTGATGAATTCTCTCTTCTTTTGGGGTTGTGGGGACCCGGGGCGCTTTAAAGAGACCAAAGAAAGACCCGAAAAAAAAAAAACCCCAAAAAACAAAACAAAACAAAACAAAAAAATCCGGGGAAATGACATTTTATTTATTTATTTATTTTGTAAACTCTGGAAGTGGAGGGGGAAAACAAAAAAACAAAAAAAAAAAAAGAAAAGAAACGCGATTTGGGAATTAAAAACGAGTCGGGCCTTTGAGGAAAGTGCGAGGGTTTCGTTAAGCCGGGCTTGGGAAGGAGAAGGATTAGGTTGAGCTTTAAATGTAATTTAAGCCGGAGAATCGGGCGGGTTTAACTAAATTTGACTTAAAATTTGATTTCCTAAGCGCTGCCAGCCCGGCTCAAAGGCGAGCTCCGGGAAAAGTTGGAAAAGAGGGAAATGTGGGAACAGGAGCCCAGACACAACTGGGAATGGCCGGGAGGGAGAAAATCCCGGAAATTCCGGAAAAATCCCGGAAATTCCGGAAAATCCCGGAAATCCCGGAAAATCCCGAGAATCCCGGAAATTCCGGAGATCCCGGAAATCCCGGAAATTCCGGAAATCCCGAAAATCCCGGAAATTCCGAAAACCCCCGGAAATCCCGAAAATCCCGGAAATTCCGAAAATCCCGGAAATTCCGAAAACCCCCGGAAATTCCGGAAATTCCGGAAATCCCGAAAATCCCGGAAATTCCGAAAACCCCCGGAAATTCCGGAAATTCCAAAAACCCCCGGAAATTCCGGAAATTCCGGAAATCCCGAAAATCCCGGAAATTCCGAAAACCCCCGGAAATTCCGAAAATTCCGAAAATTTCGAACATTCCAGAAATTCTGAAAATTCCGGGAATTCCCTTTTCTCGCGGCGGGGCCTGAGCATGGAAGAGCTGGAAATCGGCTGGAGGAGCCTGGAGAGGGCTGGGAACTGGGAATGGGACTGGGAGAACTGGGATGGACTGGGATTGACTGGGAGAACTGGGAATGGGACTGGGATTGACTGGGAGAATTGGGATGGGACTGGGAGAACTGGGAATGGGACTGGGAGAACTGGGATGGACTGGGATGGGACTGGGAGAATTGGGATGGCACTGGGAACACTGGGAAGGGATTGGGAGAATTTGGAATAGACTGGGAGCACTGGGATGGGACTGGGAACACTGGGATGGGACTGGGAGAACTTGGAAGGGACTGGGAGCACTGGGAAGGACTGGGAGAACGGGAATGGACTGGGAGGATTGGGAAAGACTGGGAGAATTGGGATGGGACTGGGAACAATGGGAAGGGACTGGGAGAATTGGGATGGACTGGGAGAACTGGGAATGGGACTGGGATGGACTGGAATGGGACTGGGAGCATCGGGACGGGACAGGGAGCACTGGGATGGACTGGGAGGATTGGGAAGGGACTGGGAACACTGGGAAGGGACTGGGAGAATTGGGATGGACTGGGAGAACTGGGAATGGGACTGGGAACACTGGGAAGGGACTGGGAGGATTGGGAAGGGACTGGGAACACTGGGAAGGGACTGGGAGGATTGGGATGGACTGGGAGCACTGGGAAGGGACAGACAGGACAGGCAGCATCTCCCAGCCCACATCCCCCAGCCAAGGAAGGATTTTCATTTTTCATTTTTCATTTTTGATTTTTAATTTTTAATTGTTGATTGCCGATTCCTGGGCGCTGCCGGGTGATTGCTGGCATTGCTGGGGCTCCTCTCTCTTTCTCTCCTTTTTTTTTTAATTTTCTTTTTTTTTAATCAATTAAACAAAATAACTCTTTCCGTTCGCCGCCAGGCCCCGCCTGCCATTGGCTGGGGCCACTCACGTGACGAGAATTGGCCACAATTTCTGCCCCCGAGCCTCGAATTTACCCGAATTTACCCGAATTTACCCGAATTTACCCGAATTTATCCCCTCCGCCCGAATCCTCAGCAAAAATAAAAGTTATTAAAAAAAAAAACAACCCGAGCACCGTCACCATCAAAAAAAAGCCTGGTCCGCATTTTTCTCTCTCCCTCCTCCTCCTCTTCTTCCTCCTCCTCCTTCTCCCTCTCCCCCGCCTCCCTCCCTCTTTCCAAACCCTCTGGAAAAAGCCATGAATTTGGAATTTGAGAGGGAGATGGGGTTTATAAACAGCCAGCCTTCTCTCGCCGAGTGCCTGACGCGTCTCCCCGCTGTCCTGGAGACGTTTCAAACTCCATCAATCACGGCCCCGACATTCATTCCTCCTCCTTTCGAGCTTCTCCAAAGCCTCCGTCCTTCTTCCGGCAGCCGGGAGAGAGCCGGGAGCCAAAAAAGAGAATTTCGGGGTCCGGCACCGCAGCCCGGCCCCGGGGCGGCCGAATTTCCTTGGATGAAGGAGAAGAAATCGTCCCGGAGAAGCGGCCAGGCTCCGTTTTCTTCATCTTCATCATCATCATCTTCATCATCTTCATCCTCCTCGCTGCTCGCCGCGGGATTTCCAGCAGGTTGGTATCGCTCCCGGGGGGGGTTTTGGTTGGATATTCCTCAAAAAAAAAAAATTTAAAAAAAAATTTTAAAAAATCTCCTTTTCTCGCACCGAAATATTCCTTGAATTTATCCCCTCCTCCTATCCAGAGAGGAGCCCCCCCCCCGAAATTGGGAAATTAGTGGAGTGATTTTTTCCCGAAAAAATCCCCAAATTCTCCTCTTATCGCCTCAAAATATTCCCCGAATCCACCCCCCCCTTTCAGGAGTTCCCCCCAAAATCGTGAAATTCCCGGCGCGATTTTCCCCAAAAAATCCCCCAAATTCTCCTCGACCCCATCCCCCATACCCAGAGAAGCTCTTCCCGAAATTCCGAAATTCCCGGCGCGATTTTCCCAAAAAAAACCCCAAATTTTCCTCATCTCACCCCCAAATATTCCCCGAACTCATCTCCCCTCTACCCAGAGAAGCTCTTCCCGAAATTCCGAAATTCCCGGAGCGATTTCCCCCCCCAAAAAAATCCCAAATTCTCCTCGACCCCATCCCCCATACCCAGAGAAGCTCTTCCCGAAATTCCGAAATTCCCGGCGCGATTTTCCCACCGCGCTTCTGCCCCTTCCCCCCGAAAATAAAAAGAACAAACGAACAAATAATTAACAAATTAATTAACAAATTGCCGCAATTTCTGCCGAACCGAGAGCGAGCAGGGGCCGGGGCCGGGGATTTTTGTGGCTCCGTTTGTCGCGATTTCTCTGCGGGTTTTTACAGCCCACGGCCAAAAGGAGGAGGAGAAAAAAAAGGGGGAAAAAAGGGGAAAAAAGGGAAAAAAAAGGAAAAAAAAAACAAAGATCAAAAGCTCCGAGAAGCGCGGAGGGAGGGAGGGGAATGGGTGGGGAATGAGGGGGCTGCTGCCTGCAGGGTGGGGAAAATCCCGCCGGGAATTTCGGAATTTTGGGGGGAATTCTTTCTGGGTATGGGGGATGGGATCGAGGAGAATTTGGGGTTTTTTTGGGGGGGAAAATCGCGCCGGGAATTTCGGAATTTTGGGGGAAACATCTCTGGAAAGGGGGGGATGGGGTCGAGGAGAATTTGGGATTCTTTGGAAAATTCGCTCCGGGAATTTCACAATTTCGGGACATCCTTTCTGGGTAGAGGGGGATGGGTTCGGGGGATGTTTTGGGGCGAGGAGAGGAAAATTTCGGGGTTTTTTTGGGAAAATCACGCCGGGAATTTCGGAATTTTGGGGGGAGCCTCTCTGGGTATGGGGGATGGGTTCGTGCAGAATTTGGGATTTTTTGGGGAAAATCCCGCCGGGAATTTCGGAATTTTGGGGGGAATTCTTTCTGGGTATGGGGGCATGGGGGTGGAGGAGAATTTGGGGTTTTTTTGGGAAAATCGCGCCGGGAATTTCGGAGTTTTGGGGGGAACCTCTCTGGAAAGAGGGGATGGGTTAGAGGAGAATTTGGGTTTTTTTTGGGAAAATCGCTCCGGGAATTTCACAGTTTTGGGGGGATCCTTCCCGGGTAGAGGGGGATGGGCTCGAGAATAATTTGTGATTCTTTGGAAAAATCGCTCCAGGAATGTCACGATTTTGGGGGAATTCTTTCTGGAAAGGGGGGGGATGGCTTCGAAGAGAATTTGGGTTTTTTGGGGGGGGATTCCGGGAATTTCACAATTTCGGGGGGAGGCTCTCTGGATATGGGGGGATGAGCTCGAGGATAATTTGGGGTTTGTTTTTTTGGGAATTTCATAATTTTGGGTTGGACCTCTCTGGGTATGGGGGATGGGTTAGAGAAGAATTTGAGGAAAAATGGTTCCGGGAATTTCGGAATTTTGGGGGGAACTTCTCCGGGTGTGGGGGATGGGTTCGAGGAGAATTTGGGATTTTTTTGGGAAAATCGCTCCGGGAATTTCACAATTTCTGGGGATCCTTCCTGGGTGGAGGGGGATGGGTTCGGGGGATATTTTGGGGATTTTTTGGGGAAAATCGCTCCGGGAATTTCGGAATTTCGGGGGGAGCCTCTCTGGGTATGGGGGATGGGTTCGAAAATAATTCGGGAAAAATCGCGCCGGGAATTTCACGATTTTGGGGGAATCCTCTCTGGAAAGGCGGGACGGGGTCGAGGAGAATTTGGGGATTTTTTGGGAAAATCGCTCCGGGAATTTCCCAATTTCGGGGGGAGCCTCTCTGTGTATGGGGGATGGGTTCGTGCAGAATTTGGGATTTTTTTTTGGGAAATCTCTCCGGGAATTTCCCAATTTCGGGGAAGCCCCTCTGGATAGGAGGGGGATGGGTTCGAGGAGCGAGGGTTGATCCCAGAAAATGAAATTATTCCAGCCCCAAAAACCGCCCGGAAAAAGGAGCAGCGCCTGTGCCGGGCGCTTCCCCTCGGGATGAGAGGTCGGAGGAACAATTCCAGGATTTCCATGGAATTTTTTTTCCCCCATGGAATTTTTCCACGGCTCAGGTAAAACCGGGCAGGGCCAGGGCGGACACCGGAGCTCGTTGGACCCCGGGGGAAAAATTGGAATAATGAAATCAAAGAACGGGGGAAGGGTAAAAAAAATAAAATAAAATAAGATAAGATAAAATAAAATAAAATAAAA